AAATTCACCCAGATTCTGTATTAAGTATATTTTTTCTGTAAACAAAAATAAGGATTATTTTTATAACTTTGCATTTGAAGTTATTTGGCTGTAAGTCATTCATTTGATTTATGGCTGGCTTTGATTTCTCAGCAATTATTGGGGTACTCAAGAATTCTTGCAAAGTGAAAAAAATCTAACCTGCACATTGTTTTCCAGTCTAATGAAATTTTTATGAATTTTTATGACTACTAAACAAGCCATTAATAGGGTCGATGTAATATTTTGTTTTGTAGTCGTCTCATTAAAATTTTATTAATTTCCATTGCAAAGCTTTTCCTTCATGTTTTGGATCCAATAGCTCTGTTTTTGGGTCTTAAACTTTTTCACGGATCTCTGAAAAGTTTTCAGGTCTCCCGGTGGCTAATAGAGCCCTATCAGAGCGGGGTCTGGAGAGGAAAGACAGTACAGGGTGGACAGTACAGGTTGGACAGCACTGAGCGACAGATGGACAAACTACTGTCACAGAAGAGAAAGTATTGCTTGATGGAGTGGGAGTGGGGTACGGTGAAGATATCATCTCCCCTAAGTCTGCTTGGGTCTGCAGGGGTCAGTGCAGGTTTTGGAGAGCAGACATTGCCCAGGCCAGAGCATGAATGGCAAACTTTTCTAAGCAGGCCTGAGGGAGGAGTGCATTGTGGGTAGAGGGAGCAGCACATGCAAAGGGGCTGGCCTGGAAAAGAATACAGAGTAAACAAGCTGGCTGGCCATGCAACTCTCCGCTCCCCACTCCCCGCTCCCATCTCTAGGCCCTTACTTTCAGACTGGCATCACCAGGGAGTTTGTCAGAATCATGTTTCAGGCTCCCCAGACCCCCTGAATTGGAACCTCCATTTTAATAGGATCCTTGGCAATTCACATGCATACCAAGGTCTGAGAGGCAGGCTCTAGTTCCAATTGGATCAGAGGCAGGCCTTCTGCAGGGGCTGGGGGTATGGGCAATGGGTGAGGGGGCAGGAGGGTGGATAGCCTGCGTAGCTGCAGCCCCAGCAGAGCAGCAGTTGTTCTGAAAGTTTGGCCTGAAAGTCCATCTCTGGGGGCCCGGAATGTTCAATGATTGCTTGGAGGGTTGGGGCTTTTCCATTTAGAGAGTCTTCCATCCACTGGGCCCTCACAGTCCCTTCTGCTGGCCTTCACTCCAGACAGTCTGTCTTGCCTGGTAGCCTGCACGCAGTGATGGCCTAATAGACTGTAGGCTGTGTGCATAATGTATTCCTGTGAGTAATTGATCACATTAGGGTGAGCCAGAGCAAGTAGTAGGAAGAAAAGGGAGGAGAGGCATCGATAACTGGGGGAGGAAACCTGCTATAAGCAGCTAATTAGCTGACTCTCCGAAGAGAGCCCTTTCACCATGAGGGCCCAGCTTGCTGTTGGCTGACCACCCTCCCCTGCTCCCCTGAATGGCTGGGCTTTCTGAAGAGTAAGGGGTAGTGGAAAGAGCTCCAGACTGAGCCAGAAAACTTGGCTTCTAGGCCATGTGATCTCAGACAAATCACTTATCTCTGGGTCTCAGTGTCACGGACTATAAAATGGGAAGGTTTGGATCAGTGGTTTCCAAATATGGCTGATATCAGAATCACCAGAGATACCTTAAAAAGGATAGATTCTCAGGTCGCATCTCTGCAGTGTTAATACAGTAGGTGGAGTGAGACCAGGAACCCCTGTTGTGACAAGAACCTCCTTCAACTCTGGCATGGCTGGTCCAATGGGCAGTTGGGAACCACTGGGTTGGAAAGATAAGCTACTTCCCAGCTCTGGCATTTTCAGATCATCGATAAGGATGGATTTTCCCATAACCCCTTGCAGAACATGAGCACAGTCCTGTGGAGAAACAGACAGGAAAGGCAGGCGACCTGTCTTCTGCTCCTGGCTCTGCAGCTGATTCATTACCTACTCACAGTTTCTCCTGAGGCTCACCTAACCCACCCATACATTTGCTGACAATGTCACCAGGCTTTCATCTGAGCACCATCACCGTGTGCCTGGGGAGATTTAAAAAATACAGCTGACTGGTTCCCATCCACTCAGAGATTGTGCTTCCATACATTTGGAGTAGCCCAGGATGGCGTGCTGTTTAAAGGCTGCCAGGTAATTCTGAAGACCAGTGATGTGTCCAAAGGCATTGCTGAATGGGACAACTGGTGCACCGGGGGACTGGACAGCACCCAGTTTTGGGAGGCCACTGTCATGCTGGCTGGAAGCATGGCCTGCAAAGAGTCCCAGGCAGATCCTCACTCACCTTTCCACCTCTAAGTGAGCCCGGACAAATCCTGCCAGGGGAGCACTCTGCTATGTGTCACCTGCGTTCAAACCTGGTGCTTTTGCCAATAGGTATCCTTGGACAAGTTGCAGGAGCAACATGAGTCTGTTCCTTTGTCTGTCAAATGGGGTCAGTGGTAACTGCATCCTGCCGGCCCAGTTGGGAGGATTACACGGAACAACTTGCAGACTGTGCTCTGTGAGTAGTCATGCTCGGTGGCAACTGTCCGCCCTTCCCAGCTGCCCTGCAGCCCCCTACACTGGGACCAGTGGAACCAGCCTGGTTGAATCTTAATATCTCTATTGAAAACTAAGCTTGGAGAGGGTCTGCTGCACTGTGCCAGAGGCCAGCAAGGAAACAGACCCCCAGCTTTCAGACCAGGGGGTAGTTTCTGGAATTACTCTGGTCTGCACAGCCAGCCAGTCACTCAGTCCCAGTATGTTTCTGCTTTCTCGAAGCTTTTGGAGCCTTGCTTCCTTTCCCTGTTGGTCAGCAGGGGTCGGTCTGCATGCTGGCCAGCCAGAGAGACTGAAGTCTCCTGCCCGGTTGCTCCCCATCCTCTTTCCATCACTCCAACCCAAGGACTTGTCAAGGTTCCACTGTTGCCCTCTGCAGACATGTTCTCCTCCTAGCAGCCACAAGGGTCCTCCTAAGATGTCAATCAGATCATGTAGGTGACTTTGACTGGCTCTCGGTGATCACTGAATAAAACCCAAACTGGTATGTAGGGATACTGCCGAATACCTTCCCTTTCTCTTTGCATGAGCCTCACACTTCTTCCTCTGGTTTACGTGGCCTTGCACAACCTGGCCACCTATTTCTCATGCCACGCTACCCTTACTCACTTTGTGGGGCAGAAAAGTTGCTATGTGTTTTCCTACTATGTTTCTTGCCCTCCACTGCACAGAGTTAACTCCTTCTCCCAGGTCCTCTACCAGAGGGCAGGACCTTATATCTGAGTTTCAGTCAATGGAATATGAGGGAAAGTGACATTCACCACCTCTAGGCTTAGCCCCCAAACGTCCCAGGAGCTTTTTCTCTTTGCTCTCAGCTGCATGCAGAGGATGAACCAGACAACTCCAAGGAGACCTTAGGGGGTGGCAGAGCAGCTAATTAGAAAGAGCTTTGGTTTTGAATAACTGAGTGAAAAACTACACACCAGACACCTGATTGGCTCAGACTAGAAGGAGAATAAACTTTTATTGTGTGAAATTACTGAGATTTGAGTTGTGTGCTCCAGCAGCTAGATTACTTATCCTGACTCAAGGCCTGTTCTCAGTTAAGATTCATCCTGCTTCTCCCATGCTTTTCCATCTGCTTGGAATGCTTTTCCCTGCTATTCTTCACACGCTTGTCTCTTTAGCCTTTAGGTCTTCATTTGAAAGTCACCACCCAACTGTTAGTTTTCTTTGTGTTCTTGCCAATTTTTTTAATTGAACTTTTTACAACTTGTGTGTGTGTATTTAAAATTAGTTTTCTATTGTTTTCCCCTAGAATATAAGCACCCAAGGGCTTTAATCAAGTCTGTCTTATTCCCCTTGGAATATATGCCAAACAAAGTTTCTGACAAAAAGTGGTCATTTAACAACTATAAACTGATGGATTAAATGGAGGAATGAACTAATTATGTATGATTCAGTTCAGTTCAATGCACATTTTGACTGGGCACCAACTTTGTGCAAGGCATTTTACACACACATAATGCATTCTCTACTCAATTCTCATGAATACTCTAGTGGAGAGGTGAGATTATTTATCCCCACTTTACACATAAGGATCAAAAGGCCCTGCTAGCAACCATAATAACACAGAAATGTTATGAGGACGCCTTTAC